AGTGGTGCCCGGTGGATTTTAATGCTTTTATTAAATTGGAAGGTCACTAAAATACTAACATTTTTGATGGATGAAAGCTGTTATTGAGTCCCTACCATCACTTATTGTGGCCTCATTGGTTTAGCAGTGGTCACAATTAGTATTAGCAGTGAAACTAATCAGAACAGCTCAACCTACTTGAAATAACTGCTTATTTGATATGGTGCGAGCAAAGGCTTTGAAATCTAGATAAAGGGCAAATGGCTGGTGCTTTTTCCCTGATGGAGATGGTAGCCTGCATTAATTGTGGATATTTTAAGTGGTGGGAGTTGCACTGTATAAGTTTTACTTTAATGATTGAGATTTAGCACATATCAATGCTTTTATGAGGGAATACTGTTTGAAATAAATGTCTGAAGACGTACATCTCAGTTATGAACAAAGGAAATCTAAATCACGTCTTCTTCCTCCATTTCAGGATGAGGCTGGAAGCCGGTTCATTGCATTTTCAGGAGAAGGTCAATCCCTGCGGAAGAAGGGAAGAAAACCATAAATTATGGAACCTTTAGCCAGCTGGGAGGAAAATAAAATAATACGCAGCATATTTGGATTTCAGTTAGTGTGGTTAAGAGGAGAGAGACTTTGTTTTTATGAAACACACACTGTTACCTTTTTTTTTTTTTTTAATTTTAAGTGGCGTTACTGGTTTGAATTCTTATTTTCATTTGAGAACTAAATTCCAAGAGATTGAAATGGTTCCTTTTGTGTTCTGGAAAGAGGGAAAGTACTTCTCAGGTTTATCTGAGATAACAAAACCACCAAGCTCTGCTTTATTCAAAGGAACAGTGACTTTTCTGCTGACTCAGTCCTGGAGACTGTGCTACACTCTCTTCTATTCTTGGTGATAATAGTATTATATTCTTCTATGCTTGATAGTTTTCCTTGTATTTTGGCCACTGTTTCAAACAAGATTTTCAGAGACGTGTTCATGATAAACCAAGGCTGACATAGTTATATGATGTGAGACCTTAATGGGAGGAAACTTCATAGATTCATAGATTGTAGGGTTGGAAGGGACCACACAGGATCATTGTATCTGCCCCCCTGCCCCTGGCAGGAAAGAGGACCAAGGTCAGATGACCCCAGCCAGGTGCCTATCTAGCCTTCTCTTGAAGACCTCCAGGCTAGGTGATAGCAGCACCTCTCTTGGCAGCCCGTTCTAGATTCCGGCCACCCTTACTGTGAAAAATTTCTTCCTAACGTCTAACCTGAATCTACTCTCCACTAGTTTGTACCCATTATTCCTAGTTATTCCTAGGGGTGCCCTTGTAAATGGCGCATCTCCAATTCTCTGTTGTCCTCCATCAATAAACTTATAGGTGGCTACAAGGTCTCCCCTCAGATGTCTCTTGTGAAGGCTGAAGAGTTCCAGATCCCTCAACCTCTCCTCATAGGGTCTTGCATAGAAGCCACTAATCATACGAGTGGCCCTCCTCTGATTTCCTCTGACCAATGCCGCATAGAGGGGGAGCATCACCTCCCTCAACCTGTTGGTCATGCATCTGCTAATGGATGATAAGATGCGATTGGCTTCGTTACACTGCCGACTCATGTTCATCTTGGAGTCAACTATAACTCCAAGATCCCTTTCAGCTACTGAGGAGGTCATCCCCCAACCCATAGGTGTGCTGGGGATTCCTCCGTAGGTGGAGTACCTTGCATTTGTCTTCGTTGAATTGCATCCTATTTCATTCTGCCCATTGATCCAACCTGTCCAGATCAGCCTGTATCCGCTCCCTGCTCTCTCGTTTGTTAACTTTGCCCCATAACTTGCTGTCATCTGCAAACTTGGACAGGGTGCTCTCCGCACCCCCGTCCAAATCGCTGATGAAGATATTAAATAACACCAGTCCAAGGACACCACTACCCACCTCCTTCCAGGCTGAAAATGACCCATCCACCACCACTCAGGGCGCGGTTCCTAAGCCAGTGGCCACTCACCTGACTGTGTAAGCATCCACTCCACAGCATGCTAGCTTCCTTATGAGAATAGGATGCGAAACTATCAAAGGCCTTCTTAAAGTCCAGGTAGATGACATCTGCCTCAGTTCATGTGTCACAGCAGTGTGTGACCTGGTCGTAAAAGGCTATAAAGTTTGTCAGGCAGGATGTACCTGTGACTAACCCATGGTGGTTTCCCTTCAGCATCATTTCCCCTACTGGGCCTTCACAAATGTGCTCTTTAATGATTTTTTCCAGCGTTTTCCCAAGGATAGAAGTGAGACTGACTGGCCTAAAGTTATCTGGCTCATCCCATCTCCCCTTCTGAAAAATGGGCACCACATTGGCCCTTTTCCAGTCCTTGGGGACCTGGCTGGAGTACCATGAGTGCTCAAACAGTTGTGCCAGCAGCTCACCTATGACACTGGCCAATTCCTTCAGTGCCTGTGGATGGAGGTCATCCGGGCCTGCTGACCTGTACCCATCCAGCCCCTCCACGTGCTTGTTAACTAAGTCAGCACTAACCATTGGCAGTCTAGTGCCTCCCAGACATCTATCTATGTTCAAGTTGGGGGAATTGTCCTGGCCAGTACTTAGGAATACTGAAGCGAAGAACTCATTGAAGAGCTCTGCCTTTTTCCCCTGTGTCAGCCATCAACTGTCCTGATTTGTACTACAAGGGCCCTGTGTTACTCTGCACCTTCCTTTTGCTGGCTATGTATCTGTAGAAGGACTTCTTTTTGTCCTTGATTGCTGTAGCCAGCCAAAGCTCCAGTCCTGCCTTGGTCTGCCTAACTGATTCCCTGCAATAGCATGCCAGGGAGGTATATTCCTCCTTGGTGGCTGCCCCCTGCTTCCACTGCTTATACATCTCTTTTTTTGCCCCCAGTCTTTTCTGGAGTTCCCTGTTCAGCCAAGGAGGCTTTTTTGTCCCCTTGCCCTCTTTCCTGCGTAAGGGGATAGACTCCTTTTGTGCCCCAAGGATCACACTCCCTTGAGAAACCGCCAACCCTCCTGGACCCCCATTTGCTTGATGTTCTTCGAGTTCAGCCACCTCACTAACTAGCTTTCTAAGTTTACTAAAATTGTCCCTTCTGAAGTCTAACACTTTAGCCTTGCTGATTATTTTTCCTACTCTTCGCTGGATTGTGACCATCATTTGGTCAAAATCTCCCAGGCTACTGTGTACTCACAGGCAACCCACGAGATCATCCCCTGTTGCTAAGCCCAGGTCTAGCAACCCTGGTGGGACTGGACACCTCCCGGGTTAGGGGGAGGTCCTGCATGCAGTTTAAGAACCTACTTGAGCAGTTTATTTTGGCTGTCTGCTCCTCCCAGCAGATGTCTGGGTAATTTAGGTCCCCCGTGACCACCGCCTCTCTCACCTGAATGGCCTCTGAGAGCTGCCTGGAGAATACCAGGTCTAGCTCATCCTGATGAGGAGGTCTGTAGTAGACCACCACTACCAAGTCCTTTTCCCTTGGACCCCCCCCACCCCC